CCAGCAGGAATCCACGGGAAACCAGGGTCCCTTCACTACATCATGCTCCCAAAGGAAGCCTGTTCCCAGGCTCCACAGAGGCAGGCACAGCCAGGAGCACTTCCTCTGCAGCCCTCCTTGCTCCCACACCAGAGGGAAATGATGCAGCACCTCAGCAATGGGGMGGAAATTTCACTGGACCATGGGAAATKCATGCATGTGAGACCAGAAGAGCAGAAATCTCCAGTGGCTCTTGGCTGTACTGGCTCTCCCCAGCAGTGCTCCTTGGGCTACATCACCACAGAGAGCCTCTTACTGCCATCAGCCAGAGACTCCAACCATATGGCACTCACCACTGATGGAGAGTTGGCTTGTGACTCACAGGAGATTCATCCTCCTGAGGACTGCTCTTGCTCTGAGTTTTCTCCTGCTAAATCTGGCGTCATGGTTGCAGTTTCAGCTCCAACACCAAACCCTTCTCCAGAATTGCACCTGGATGCATTTGGGGACTATCTTACTGTCCCTCYAGGTCCGCATGGACTTTCAGAATCCACAAATACTTCTTTGCATTTTCCTTGAAAATGAATTAGCTTTTCCAAAGAACCTGTGCTGCAGAACAGTGCAGCCTTGTTTAATCCTGATAGCACCATGATTGTTTTCCTCTACTATGGCCAATTGCTACCATGTCCCATACCTAAAACTCCAGGAGAAGATTCACATAAGCCAGGAAGATCCATGTGTAAATAGTAAATATGTAAATGTTATAAGGAATGTAATAAGATTTATAGAAGGCTGCTAGGACTGTGGCCTATCTTTGATACTTAAAATTTGAARAAATGCCACCATTACATTCTTATTTTCTTTCCACAAAAATCTTATGTTCAATTTCTAGTCCAACATGGAGAAAGTTCTCCAGCAATCCTATCTCCTTTCTTAGTTACATTAATGCATCTGGTAAAAGGTACAGGATGTAACTCCCCCAAACCTGCCTTTAGATGGGCTTGCTACACAATCCCTTGACAGGTTTGTTTGGCAATGGAGGAAGCCAGATTTACCTAGGGCTTCTTTCTGAAAGTAGGTAATCCATTTTGGTTCAAACTTCTCGGGTAGTGAGAGAAGAAAATTCGTCTGCTTGGACAGCAGATTAGATAATCAAGTTTCTTACTCAAGAGCAATGAATGCAAGGACATAAAAGAAAAGGAACTTACTGAAAATGTTCAAATGGCTACCCATCATAAACACTAGACAGACAGTTTACTGAATTCGTTGATATAACCTGGAAGCTTCTTGGTAATGCATGCCATTCCTGTTCTTTGCTGAGACCTGACAGTATCCATCCTTTGCCTTTGAGGGAAATATTACTTCTAAAACTCTCTTACCATTTCCAAGTGCAGTGATCTCACCTCTGTTACTTCATTCTGTTAAAGACAGGATCGGCACTAATTACTTCATTCTTTTAGGAATGAGGTATTTGGCTTACCTCCGGATAGAAGTGGCTCCAAACTTGTTTTAGTTCAGTGCAAGCTTTACAGTCCACAGCTGTTTTAAGACTCTGATAAGAGTTTATACAGTGAGTATCATCTCTTCTTATAGTTACTTTTTTTTAGTGAAAAATCTCTTGCAGTGAAAATAACAAAGACAGGTTGGAATTATTCAGAATAGCCCAAGATAGACAGAAGTCAAGGGGTTAAGTGAAAAGGAAAACGGCTTCACTGGAGAACAGGAAACCTTTCTAAAGAGTGGTATATTGCAGAATAAGCTATGTCTCATTTGGTGGGATGCCTAAATCTAAACTGGAAATATCCAGGAAAAACTAGCAGAGAGGATAAGTGTTTAAGATGCTTGGATTTATTTGCTCTCTTGTATTTCAGATTGCTGTAGTACTATACAATTAGCTGTATTTCAAGTGCATTCACTGTTTACAGTAGATGACTAAAACAGCTTTTAACCAACTATTTTGCTGAACGGTTTTGCCAAGTCAGAGAACTTTTTCATTGTTTATTATTATTCTCCCCAGCTCCAGCTAAAAACATTGGCTCAGAGCTGCCACCCAATGCTCGTACCATGTAAAATCCCTTTAAGACAAGCTATCTGCTATATTTTWAAGACAAGCTATTGCAAAGTGCTCAGTTCAGTTAGACAATATAGCAGAGGTCTAATAACTCACTACATACAAAAGGCAAAAAGTAAAAGATTATTTCTTTCTCCACTGCTATTTCTAAGCATCTGTATGTCCCACTCCTGTATGCCTTGGCTGTAACAAGATCTTTGAATCAATAAATTTATTTTGTTAACCTGTTTACTAWTTTTTTTCTGCTGTATTTTCCGATGTTTTATCAATGGTTTTCATGATTTTCTGATGATTTATCAAGGTGAGTCAGTATGGAGTGCAGGGGGGTAAGTATCAGCTCCTGCACAAACAAGTAAGCAGGAATGAACAGCTGAGAGCAGAAAGATGGGTGGGAGACTTTCTGCAGCAACGAGCACTTATTTTAGACCGACTGTCCTGTCTAACTGCATCTGACATGTTGTCTGGAGATTTCCCAAACTGACTTTAAATATGCTTCTTTGGGTATCCAAAGCACTCTAGGGTAGAGGATGGAGTGCCACACAGGGTAACACACCTCAACGTAGTTCTAAGTRAATCAGTCTTTTCAGCACTCTGTGACTTCAGGTATTGATTACTTCCAGTAGCTGAGCTGTCTCATTGAAAGCTATCTCCATTATTTCTGTACCTTTCAATGTGTCATCTATCAGAACATGTTTGCCTCTGGCTGTGCTGTGTTATTTGGCAAAGCAGAGGGGAAAATGAAAGGGGATTACAACGTGCATGCATTCACTTGGCATCAATCAGATGTTTCACTGMATTATACAATGTCAACTACTAACTGCTTGTAAACATTATTTTAATTTGTAATAAGTGTATAAAGTGGTTACTATTCTTACAGCAAGAGGACAAAAAGAAAAAAAAAGTTTGTGGTGCAGGATGGTGTTGCACCATTAAGACTTTCCCAGTCCCTTCCTGATATTCCTTAGTCTTTCATGGATAGCCAAGGGCATTTGCTCCAAGCTGTACCATAATTTTGTACTCTGAATGCGCACACATTAGAAAGAAAGCTGTGAACGTGCGTGCTGATTCAGCCCTTATGTTAAGATCTTGTATCTGTCTTAGCTACAGATATAATTTTCTGAATTTTCTCCTTTTAGTATGCCAAACAATACCAGTAGATTTCTCTTCAGGTCCAATGATTCTGGATTAGGAACTGCTGCAGGTTCAAAGGACAGAGTTTATTATGTACTCAGTGTCAGGCTGGTTATCAGGCTGTATGTAACATGCAAAACAAGGTGGTGCTATAAAGCCCTGCTATTCAGCTGAAGGCAGAGTGCTATATGCAAAGACAGGGACCTCTTGAACTGATGTACAAGGAAACCCACAGGGATATTTCTACAGTTTGCCATTTGGTCAGTCTCCGTAGTTTGAAAGACTTGCCCATGTGTCTKGAAACATCTGAATTCCAAATGGTTAATTATTGCTGGTGGAAAATGATTATCACATGATAATCACTGGTCACATTTTAACTGACTTCACTGCTTTTATGCAGTCAGCATACTCTCATCTAAGCTCAAATGGAGAGAAGTGGTGTAACAATCCTAGTTCTGACCTGAAGTAGCTTGTATGAGGGAGCAGCAAAACATCAGTCTTTAAAAAATGGAAGTAGAAGGAAAGCGCAGCTTCCTTCCCAGATAGGTACTTTGTGATTGCTTGGCCCACCTGCTACAGTCTGTGGGACTGGAGGTCAGGAGTCTGCAAGAAGAGTGCTAGATACTATCAGAACAACAGCAGTAAATCCAAATAACCCTGGATTTACTGCAGTATTCAAACCCTTGGGTGACACCGAGTTATTCTTCTGATACACTCTCCAGACTTCAGATCATATGGACTGTATGGTGGAGACATGTTTCTCTCTAAGAGATATGTACCTGGCAGGTAGGAGAAGGGCTAGCAGAGGTGAATATGGCTTATGAGAGCTTCAGTTACAGTCCAGTCACACTGTGGGGTGACTTGCAGAAGGGCAGTGGTTTCTTGGAGCTTTCTTGTTTCTTTTAGGTGGGATGTCTCAGTTTGTATTTGTATTAGTTTGGTCYGTGAATTTTGTGGGCTTTGGCAAACACTCCGACACCTCTTTTCAGGTGAGTTTTTATTTATTTTCCCAGCATTACTCCTGCTCCCCACCTAAGCAAGAATTTTTCATGAAGTCCTCCAAATGACAGACATAACAACAAAACTAGAACTCTGCACAGAGAAATTTCCTTTCCTACCACACATAGGCATCTGTTACCAGCCATCTGAATTTGCTGCTGAGCTGTTGCAGGAATACTCTTGGATGTTTAAGAAGCACAAAAAGAGTCTAAATTCTCCTGGAAAGCTCCAACAGGCATCTGATTCTTGGACTGGTGTGCCTTGCCACTGTATATGTCCAGTTCTGAAGCTATGGGAAAATTTTACAGCCTTTGGGGTGGACAAGACAGTGTTCAGGCCCTTGGATGACGCTGGTTCATTCCCTTTGTATCCTCTGGGTATTCCCTTCTATCTGGTTTGCCGGGACAGACACTGAAGCATCATGAATCTTCTCATAAACTTGTATTTATAGACACTCAGATACATACACTTACATCCATCCCTCTTCCTTGGCATCCTGTCTAGGCCTCACTTATTAAAGTGAGGCCTAGACAGGCCTCTCTTGGCCAGTCCTAAGCATGAGGAGGGTGACATTCAAATTCATTCTCTCCTCACCCGGTGAGATTCCCAAACCTGCCTCATAAATCCTATTCTACCATATATGGTGAGCAGATGAATTTTTATTTGGTCTCCTCTCATCAGTGCATCACTCTACCCTCTGCAGGGTGCGTGTCTTACATTCCACTGAGGTTCAAACTACCAGTGACGAACGAAGCATTTTCCATGCACATTTAGTGGTTTTTTTTCTGGCATTCTTCTTTCAGAAGACCCTAACTGGGAGAAGAGAGCACTACCAACACACCTGCTGTTGACACCTGGCAAGCAAATGGCAGAAGGCTTACACGGAGGTTTATTAGATGGCTGAGGAAGAAGATCCCTTGCTGAAAGCACTCCAGTCCCTAACCTGATTCTAAGGCTTGCCTTTGTTCTTCCCATATTTCTCTTCAAATGCTTTCTGCAGGTTAAGATTTAGGGCATTTTTCTGATGCCATCTACCTGTAAAGAAGGCAAATCATAGTTCAGTTACAGGTCCCCTTCTAACAGTATTACTTCTTGGGGATTTCTCTAGCTGTAAAGCTCCTCTTGTGAAAATGCCAATGTACAGTTTCCCCCATTTGCCCACACCCATTCTTTATACTTGGGAGAAGTGGTACCCATCTCAGAAGCTCAACAATTTTTCCTGACAGAAGCCATACCTAGGTCATCAGTCCTTCTTCCATGCCAATTCTTGGGATCTCTGATTGCTTTCTGAATTACATCCGGGGTGTAAGAATCTTTCATCAAGCTTCTGCTCTCCAGTGGGCCACCTGCAAGAAACAGCAAATGAGGAACTGTACAGAGAAAACACCCTACTGCAGGGTTGGAATTGAAGCAGGGGAGTCACACCAGCAATTTCCAAGGCACAGGAAATGGTGTGTATTGACTCCAATATCTTCTATTAGTTGTATGGCTAGCTGCTGAATAACAGATTGACCACCACACAGTCAGGAACTGTATTTGCCAATTTATCTGCTTTTTGTTTGAAGTATGAGAAACACACAGAGGATAGAGCACACTATTTTCTTTATTTGTGTCCTAGAGCACTTTCTTCACTGAAATACCCACTTGATCTCCTCTTGAATCTCCTCATTCATGTGAGTAACTTCCTGTTCAACAATATAGTTTCATAAAAAGTACTGTCTTACCACCCAAGGCCTTCCTGAGCTCCTTTTCTGCCGTGATGCTTACAGACTCTCACTAGACTCTCAGTCTTTCATTTAGCTCATCTTTTACCCATTTGAGGGGCCTCTTTTCTCATCTTCCTTCTTATTCCTATTTATCTCTCCTTGATAATTAGAGCAAGATATCCCTCTCTCCTGAATGACTGCACAAAGCCCAGGACAGAGCAGTTGTCAGCAAGTTGTCCAGGTATTGTCATGGAACAAATTGACTCATAGTGGTACATGATAAACTGGAGGAAGAGACATTTGCCTGAGAGATTCTTGGATACAGTGGCAACAAGAATGGAATGAATACTTTGTTTCCCATAAATGAAGAGATTTCTAGGGGCTGGGGAAACAGAGGGAAGGCATTCCAGAGCCCCATATTTCTAAAGGCTATTGTAAGAAAAAAAAAGTCACTATGGGAACTGGAAGTAACATGAGATTGGAACTGACAGCAACTTCCAGTTGCAAATGTTGTCCATTCAGGAAGTGCTGGACATGGAGGATGGAGACATGATGCACCCTCACTTTTCTCACCTTGACCAAAAAAAAAAAAAAAAAAAAAAAAAAAAGAGTGGAAGGATTAAAAAATAAATATAAAAAAAAGGATGGAATATGTATAATTGGAAGCTGTAACTTTCATTTCCTCAAGCACTACAGCCTGACAAAAGGTAAATGAGGGACACCTAAAATCAGACCTCTACCCACCCAGTGCAGATGTCCAAGCCCAGGTTCAGTGCAGATGGGCCCAGCTTTGAAGATCAGGCATAGGTATGTGCATCTCCTCACCTTGGAAGATATTTGACCTCAAATTAAAACCCAGCTGGTAGTAATCAGCAAAAGATGTAGAAGTCAGGGGGTTTTGTAACATCTCAGTGCGGTCGCTGAGCCTTTTCTGTCCTATGATTAATCCTGCCTTGCACAGAGCCTGCCGTTCCTGAAAACATGAACAACATGGAAACAGTTTCAGTTCACTGAAAAATTCACTTAGGGTACAAAACCTCTGACATTTCCATTCTCGTGTAGGCCTTTGAGCTATCACTAATATCCCAGACCCAAGTTTGTCCAAGTCAGCAGCCTCTATAGGTACTGTAGCTGGAAGGGCCAACTGACACTAGTGCAAATGGGGGCAAATTAGAAAAAAAAAAAACATAGTGTGTGGCTCTGGACTGCATAGTGGTATCATACTCTGCTAAGTTGAGACTCTGTTGCTAATTACAGGAACCTTAAAAATAAATGGAGGAGTGAAAAACAAAACAAAACAAAACAAAACAGGAGATGGGAGAGGCTGTGGAATGTGCCACTGCACTTCAATGTTGAGCCCAGATCTGTTCCCCTAAATGTCCTCTATAAACTGCTTATTTATATTCCACCCACTCAGACCTCCTGCTAAACAAAAATAAGTAAATAAAGAAAAAAAAAGCCTCCATCCTGCCAGAAAGACACATGAAACTGCTTCCTCCAGTACCTCTTCACTGCGAGAAAGTTCATCTGCACTGGCAGATTTATATTTGCTTTTAGCATGGGTTAAAGTGTTTCTCTTCTCCAGAAGCTTCCCCTCTGCTTTCACATCTTGCCCTAACGATGCTAAGGACTCCTTAGCACTTAATCTGTAGCGGGTTTCCTTGGCCTCTTTGGTCTTGGTGATCTTCTGGGGAGATCCAGGCCCCCTRGATCCCAGTGCTCGGTACTGGCCTGCTGCTGGTACTTTGGCACTTGAGTTTGGCTTCTCCTCTGCCTCTTTCTGCTTGGGTAATGCAGAGAGGCGGAAACTGCTGTTCCTCCCTCTCAGTTCATGCCCCACTGCTGGGTCTTTGGTGGCAGGAGTACCTCCTCCCTCTTCAAGTCTCCTTGAATGAAGTTCCTGCATGGAGGGAGTTTTGCCCTGGAGACTCTGTTTGCTGTAGCCTTTATGCTGAAGACACTTTGCAAGAGGAGATGCCTGAGGTTTGACACATGTTGAGTTCTTTGCCATTCCTTGAGCTGATGTGCCTTTGGAGATCTTCCAGGAGGTTCTGCTGGAGCTCCGTAGGGATGTTCTATAACTGCTGGGATGTGAGCCTGCTGGAAGATGCTCCTTTCTCCCTTCCCCAGATTCCACTTAAAGACAAAAGGAGCAGCTCAATGAATTTGATACTGTTTTGATGATAGGTAGTACCTTAAATGAAGCTGGAAACAACCAGACATGTCATGGTGTCATTGTCAGAACCAAGCTTCCTGCTCCCACTGAGCCAGGGAGTCTCATATATTCCTGATAGATGATCATGAACAGAAATAGGCAGGTAAAAATTTTGTGGTTAAACATGCACTAGCATTATCTTTTCTTAGATTTAGGTAGGCCCTCCAAACACATGTTTGGAGGAACATGCACTTCCTCTGCCATGCATCAGTATCTGTTGAGGAGTTTACAGCATTGGCTTTTGGCACTGGTGCAGGGAAGTAGCAAGGTAAGTCCACCAATAGGAGACACATCCTCTGGAGGACTGTAATCCATCAGTCCACAGATAGAGGGGCTGCCCTGTCTGTGTAGTTTTCACTCATACAGAGTGCATGTGAATCTGGACAGCATGAAGTAAGGGAGGCAAGGACAATCTCCCTCACATGCTATGTTGCAAAGCAAAGTCTGAATAACAGGCAGCTTATTTGCTATATTGCTTACCTGATGAACTGTCAGCCAGCACAGTGTCACTTTTTGCCAGGTCAGGTGTGGGGGGAGCAAAGGCGAGTGGCACCTCCTTGGAAGAGAAATTCCACGTCAGGCCCAGAGAAGGGAATGAAGAAGACCGTCCTGCCCTGCTGGTCGTCTTTCTGAGCTGTAGACTACTGTCAAGCATATGTGGAATTTGCCTGTCTAGATCAAGACAGGGCTGTCCACAGCTGACTGTATGGCTGATCCTAAGATCTATGTTCCTTTCAGATTTTAAAAAGTACAGGATTTGCAGGATTTGACATTAACAGTCTGCCTATAACCTGGACAAGCAGTACCACTGAAGAATATTGAGCTGAAAGAAATTTTACAGGTAGCAGTCAAAAAAACAGGCCAAAATGGGGGAAAAAACAACAACAAAGTCTACCATATGYTATACAATTGTAACAGCTCATTCCKTCAGTGCATTAAAGTAGGACTAGACAAACCTGGAGAGGAATTAATAAACATAAAATGGTTGCACCGTGCTGAATATGCAGAAGAGAGATTAACTGGGGATGAGGTTTCCTCTCTGATTCTGGCAGCAGCTATTCCCTGTTTCCCTTCATTAGGTCTGATGATAAGACTGATCTAACATGCAGCCTTTGCAAAACCAACTCCTGGGGTCTGCCTGTCTTCTATACTCGAAGGGAGTTCATGCTCTTCCATGCAGAAGAAAAGTCTCCATGTCCTCAGTCCTATCCTGCTGCTGTTCCATGTTTCTCATCCCAGCAAAACTCTATACATTGAGTTCATGTGGAACCCGTAATGATGCGGCTCATGATAGGAACACGTCTGTTCCCTATCAGATGTGAGGATCTGTGAACCTGCCTGCTCTGGCAGCAGGACTAACGGGATCTCCATCAGGTGGTGGGGTATATGTTGGCATTTGCTGGCTTACATTATGATATGACATTTATGCTAACTTTCTGCTCTTAATGCTGGTTCCTGGAAATTGGACGACATCTGACGGGGAAGGAAGCCCTACTGCATTTAAGTTAACTCACGGGAATTCTCAGAACTGATTTGAATCAGCAACTTGTGTTTTACATTGCACCAGGACTTCGCTGCAGCATGTCTGGTGCAATATCAGGACCCTGAGGCTGGATTTACTCAGTCAGATTCCAAGAGTCAGGTTTCCACGCTACACAAACGCAGTAAGAGAAAACGTAATTCTCACAAAAAGGGCCACAAGAAATAYAGGGGAAGCCAGTACGTGGCTCTCATGGCAGCATCAACTTCTTTTCTGTATTGCTTTTAATTCTTTTTAAAGAAGAATCAAACATTTAAACACAATCACAACCTCTTCCTAAATAAACTTCTGAATTAATTCCCACCTCCTACATAGCACAAAAAATATGGTTATTATTGTTATTATCCAATGAATAAAACTTTCTCTCCAATCTGCTATTGCAGAAATCCCTCTTCTCTCGCTTTAATGCACCTCTTTCAATAAAGCAGAATTCCTATACACAGAAGCAACATGCTAATCTCCAAAATTCCAATCACTGATAATTTAATTTCCCTAGTTTCTCCTGGATAAACCAACACTAAAGTTCTGTTGTTGTTCCTACAACAGCAAAAAAAAAAAAAAAAAAAAAAAAAAAAAAAAAATCAAATTGGATTTGATGTTATTATCACTGTTAATTGTTTATATTACTTTTGAGCCTAGAGGGTCATCCAAAGTCTAGTTGCCACTCTGAGATTTCAGTATCTTCATGCCAGGAAGGACTCACATCAATTTGCCATCCTCTTGGATAAAAGGTAAACCAACTTGGCAAGGGACTATGCAGACACATCAGAAAAGACATATCTTTGTCAAAGAGCTAAAAATGGTTAAACTTTTTTTTGCGGGGAGGAGGGGAACAGAAAACCAAAATATTTTTAGCCTAACCCAACACCCTGACTTTCTTGACTTCCAGTCATCCCAGGCAGGGTACTGACCTCCTCAGTAGGAGATGCTATGTCATTCTCATCAGTTGCTAGACATGATCTAGAACAGTCTAATATGCCTTCCTCTGGCTTGACCTTCAAAATAGGAGGAGGTTGCAGCAACTTTCTAGGCCTGAGAAGCCCCATGGATGTCAAAGTAAAACAGGATCTTTTCTTTTTTTCAAGCGGAAGAAAGGATCTAGGTTTTAGGAAGAGGCAATTTATCTTCCATTATCACTCCTCTCACCTGATTCATGGTCTCTGACGAGATGCCAAAGTTATTCTTACAACCAGGCAGGTCCTGTTGAAGTTCAGGTATGGAGGTGGAATGAAGGATAAACACCAGAGACAGTTGCTAGGGAAGAACCCTCCCTCTATCTGTGAGCTGTAGTCACCATGGGAACCATAATAAACAGGGCAGAGATCAGGTCATCCTTAATGACTGGAAAAAAAAAAAAAAAAAAAAGGCTAAAAAGCTCATGTCTAATAGAGCAATAAAGAAGTTCTTACCATGTAAGGAACATTTCTTGGAGGCTTTCATCATGACAATCAACAAGACTTGTTATTTTAGCATAACTAGGCCTCTTAGCACCTCCAAATCAACATGTTCCACAGGCTCAACATGTCCCCTAAAGGAGGTAGGGGAAGGTAGACACACTTTCCACAGAAGAAGAGATGGTTGCTAACTAAAGGTTTCAGACTGAGTCAACAACAGACCACAGTGAACCCTACAGTGTCCACCACTTACTGCTGTGTTTTAGTCCCAGATCTGCTCTTCATCCGTTGTGTTTCACCAAGGATTTGGGCTGTCATTGAAACACAGCAATTTATGAAATCCTTCAGGGTGCAACATTTCATCATGTAAAAATGCTGCCCTTCCCAGCCAGTACAAGAGGTTGTGGACCACAGAAGAAAAAAAAAACAAACAGTGATATTCACAGTTGCATCATCTTAAAAGCAGATTTTATTCATTATGAGAAAATGAAAATTGGCTTAAAAATCTTCCTGATCATTTTTATAAAAACTGACAGAACAGAAATCAGGATGTTTTCCCTGTATTTCCACTCCCTTTCTTTCCCTGTACTGTGGGCCTGGAGATAGCTGCTAGATCTCATTGCCCAAGACAGTAACTTTCCTTCTAGGCCTTGTTGCGCTTCATCTCAGAGACTTTGTGCTGTGGTGGGGCACGATGGAACCACTCTGACCAGGAACCATCGTAAACAGCCACATCAGGCTTGCCACACAGGTAGGCTGCCAAGGCAATGTGGCACGCCGTAACCCCTTTGCGGCAAGTGGCAGTCAGCGGCTTCGAGAGATCAATTTTCTTCTCCTGGAACATTTGCTGAATCTCCTCCAKACTCTTCTCATGGCCAGCTTCTGTTAGGAATGAGTGGAATGGCATGTTCACAGAACCGGGGATGTGACCAGATTCCAGCCCTGCAAGAGTGGACAGGAAAAGGAAATGTTAGCAGGCAGGAGGTAATGAAGGTGATGAGACACCTACAAAAGAGACATAAAAAAGAGACATTGCTGCTCCTAGTCTCTCTCTTCAGAATACTCATTTGTTTCAGGTGATGAAAAACATGCAAAGCAGTAGAGCACTGAGAAGAGGAAGATGAAGATTATTTAGCAATGCTGAACTCAAAAAATTCCAGAATATTTAGAAAAACTATTGTCCCACTGAAAACAATAGGAAGTAGGAGGGAATTTAAAGGCCTTGGAAGACTTCAATGTGACAAGAATCAAAGAAAGAATACAGAAAAGATCCTAAGAAAGTTGATAATGAGAACTGTATAAAGAGAAATGCTGCAGGATAATTTCAGGCCTTTTTCAAGTATACCTGCTCTACAGCAGCTTAATAGAACTTTCAGAAGAAAAAGAAAAATTGGCCTATGTGAAATTTGTGAAAGTAGTTCTCTGTTTACAGTTTATTCCTGTGACACCTTAAGATCTTATTTCAGACAAATAAAGCACCCTTAAAATCAGTCACATTACTGTTGAGGAAGCCATCCCAGAGCAATAGGGTCAGATAAGTGAGAATTCAGATTCTGTATCACTTTTCATCTACTCTGGATGAAATCAGCATGGATTCTGTTCTTCTACTGCTATAACTGGCCACTTCAGGCAAGCTAAAAGATTAGCTGAACAACAAAGTCTTTAGAGAGAAGCAGAATAAAAATGTGATGGATGAGATTTTCATCACACCCTTGAAAATTCAAACTCCATCACTATAGGCTTAATCAAAATCCATTACACTCAAAGGATTTTTTTTTTCCAGACTTTGACAGGCTTTGAATGAATCCTCAATGGAGCAGGAAATGTCAAATATTAGMTTGAAAATGCATTCCGGGGAATTGTCCTGGGTAGGTTCAAACTTCTAAAAAGACAGCCCTGGGAATGTTTCATAGAAATACTAACCTCTTTTTCATTAAGAGCTTTAAATCTTCCCCCAAAGACAAAAGATCAACTGATCTCAGGATATGGAGGCAAGGTTGGGGCACAGGAGCTTTGTCAAAGCTAAATGATAAAAGTATACTTAGTCAGAGCCTGGCTCTAGGCATGATAATGACACTGCAGTTTCATCACTCCTGGAGACCCCATGATCACAGGAMGACAGGGTTTCTAGAAACCATGAATACATGACTTTTGCTAAGGGCAAAGTTTGAGAGCCTAGAGACACTAGAAGCTGCTCTGAGTCAGTTTTCCAAGACCTCTCCCTGTTCCAAATGGACCCTCTTTGCCTCTTGATTCATTCACCACCAATCTGATGCTGCTGTCCACTCGCCATTTCAGATGTGTTCAGCATGGCAGGGAAAAGATGGGAGAACTGCCATGAACTCTGTCTCTGTTAGGAAGGGTTCACGTTTGAAATAAAAGAAAGAGTGCAAGAAAACCACGGGGACATGTATTGAGATCGAGAAAGCCTGGAGCTGAACAAAGGCACGTCAGGTCTTACTGGAAGAAGCCTGCTGACCACTGACTCAGGTCTTAGCTGTTCCAGGCCCATTGTTCATGATGGCTTTTCTAGACTATTTACACATCTTAAAATTGGGGCAGTTATATCCCTTCCCTCTTACTGGAGACCATAAATGTTAATTACAAGCTGAGCAGACATGAAAAAGAACAGTCTCATTTTAGAGCATTTTTGTCTTTGACCTATAGGGCTATTTCTTTGCTTCAAAGACTCAGAAGTGTACTGGAGCCAGAAAGAMCAGTGGTCTGTGGATTAAAATGGGAAATTCATCAAAATGTTGCTGTGAAAACAGCATTTATTCATGTATGTGGGCGTGCTCAGTTGAAACAACTAGCTCACACTGCATAATGGCAATCTCTTGGRCTTTTTAGGAACTAATGCTCTTCAATGGTAGAGGAAGTTCTATCAGCTCACTCCATGCTAGAACAAGAACAGAGAAACACAGGACTAGAAGGCAAGGATGGCCACAGCTGGGATCTGGCATAGGGAGAGGATACACCTATTCCCATCTCATATAATACAGAGGATACTCCATGCCAGATTTGCTTGGCCACTCTTACAAACTCGAGGAGGACTCCTGGAGTGACAAAGCTTTGCTCCCAGCTTTTGCAGTAATAAGGTTATAAACTCTCTGACATAAAGGTGGGATCTTATTCCTCTCGGCAACAGTYTGAATCCTTGCCCCGAGCCCTCCCTCTGAGGCACCCCTGCCCTTAACTTAACTSAATGAAGTCTGATTAGATGAGCTCTTCACTGCTCAGGCTGCCTGGAAACAGTTATAGGTGACCACCAGTCTTCTGAATAAGGAAGTGGCACTTCCTAGCACCTTAACTGACAGGCAGAAGGTTCATAATTGTTCTTTTCAAGGCCACATCACCTTCGTGGCTCTTGCAATCAACCAATTCACCCCAGTCTCTCTCCTGTTGCTTCCCACTGTGGGACCTGAGCTTGTAACAGAGAAGTCTGCAAGGAAGTATTTAGCGCAACTAGGTATCCAACCTTGCTCTGTGCAGCACTATATTCCCCACATGATCCTTTAAGCCTCTCCAAGGCTCTCCCAGCTGTGCAGCTCAGTAGCACTGTCCTATTTTCAGCGCCCTGATGATTCACACAAAAGAGAAATAAAACATGTAAGTCCAACGACTGGACTCTGCTGATAACTCCTGCCAGCCTAATAGATCTGCTTTCAGCACATGCTACTCCCTTACCTCCCTTTCAGTCAGTTCCTTGTGCTATTAAATGTCTATCCAATATTAATATAATATATAAAATATTAATACAATATTATATTAAAAAAATCACATAAGGCCAAATATATCAAAACCACCCCACAGCTGCTTGTAATGGCCAGAAGGTTCAGACAGGCACATGTGTTCTCACTTCTCCTAACTGGTGAGTTAGGAGACAAGAAAATAGCTCTTAATTACAGTTTAAGTTTACAAAGTATTTTATTCCATTTTGCATCCACTTACGTATTTTTTAACTTTTTTCAGTCTACCAATGCTACACTAACAGATTAACACCTGCCCAGGTTGTACTGCATCTCGCATCCTAARCACACATACTACCTTTCTTAGAGGTTTTGACCTACAGAATTGTACTCCAATGTGAGCTACTTATTAAAAATCTTGCCTCCTAGACTTGCAGTGTCAACATGTATTTGGGATGGAGATTGTCTGCTTCATGGATTTGAGTACGTGGATACTTCTACATTTTGGTTTAGAGGTTATTATTTCCACTTCTTTCCCTTTCTTCTTACTATTCCTCCCCCAACTCTAGAGACTTCTACTCAGGAAAAAACAAAACAAAACAAAAAACAGTAGCAGAGTCAGGATACATAGAAAAAATCTTTTATCTTGAAACCCTGCTAACTCCATAGCAACCTTATTTATTCTCTCTTACCTTATTTTTATTCATTTTGCTCCAACAGCTTTTGTCATTTGTTTTAATTCCTTTTGCCAAGTCTCACTCGGCTTGGCTTCTGGCAATCCTCCCTCACACTTTGTAACTTCTAATATGTGTTTAATCCCCTTTTTCCACATCTGTTAGGTTCTCTGCTTAAATACCACTGTCTTTCATTGGATAATTATCTAAGACCAGGCTCCTTCTTCTCTCCAATTTTCYTTATTATTTTGATAAGAGCCCAGGCAGACGCAGACTTTCTTAGTCAAAGAAATGAAGGTCAAAATTTCAAGTCAAAAAGATCAAAGATGTGTCTTGTTCCCTATTAACTCTGTGATGTTTTGGAGTTAACTGATTACACATAGTTGTTTCCCATCAATTGCCCCTTTATTTTCTGCTGTTTTCTCTCCTTTTTTTTTTTTAACAAGTTCTATGCCTTGGAATAGATCACTAATGATCTCACCTAACCTACCATAAATTCACTGCAAAGAACTCTTAAAACTCAGTCCTGGCAAGCTCCCTGCAAGGCCCTGGCTGTTAGATCAACATGCCTTAGATACCAATGTCAGAAGACGGTAGGCATGGCGAGAACAGTCAATTCCTTAYGAACTGGTGTTCATAAAAACATGGGCAGATTATTAACAGTGCGGATCCTATTGGTTCATGCATGTCTAGTGGTCACACGGATGAACATCTCTGGACTGCAGGCTCCTGTGAGATGAAACAGACTTYGATAAAGTTTCTGATTCTCCATGTCATGCATGGGGTGTTACTTCATGTACACAGTGGAGCTGGACAGTTCAGGCTGCATATCCTGCTTACAGGAAAGAGGGAAAAAGGAGCAACATGTCACCCCACTGCTGCCACTCATTACTCAAGATGGGCAAAAGCTGTATTTGTCACAGCTGGTACACTTGAAAGCTGGGAAAACAGGAAAAGGCTGAAGAGTAGTGTATTTACAAGGAAAACAGGGATGTTGTTTGAATCCTCAAGGGCTGAGGCCAGCAAGAAGGAGAAATAAAAAYAGCTGTAAGCCCATTAGGCAGCTTAGGGTTTGTCTTCTTTTTGAGATGAAAATTTTCTTGTCTGTCCTCCTTTTTCAATTGTGTATAAAGAAATTTAGAATTTCCCAACATTTCTGTATGCATTTGTTCAGTGCATGTTCCCTGTTTACGGTGCCAAACACTCAGAAGTCGTCAGCACTGGTACTCTCCTAATTATTTTTATAACCTACCCTGATTAGWAGGATTGCCTCAATTCAAGTTGGCTTGCTGGATGTGTACCCTACTGTGCCTGCATGAACAGGCCCTTGTAGAACCTATTTTGGCCACTGCTGAATCATAGCTAGTGAACACAGCTGGGCCCGTRTTTGCTCTGGATTTGCCATTTCCTCCACTTTAACTGCTCGATATGCAACTCAGGGCTTCAGGCCTGCACACCTTACGAGTTCATTCCACCACACACAAACAGCTAAGTTTGTTTCTAYTTTTTTTATCCAAAGCAATGCCTGTATTTAAGAACTAAAAGGCCTACTGTAAAGATCCGTCTCTCTTTCTCCATACCCTGGCAACCTGTGTAAACCTCCTCAAACAACCAAAAATTAATCAYATATTATGGCTTATCTTAAGCACCACAATGAATATCTAAGCCTCTGCAATATAGCTGTTGCATAAAAATAAAACAGGGACAACTAAATCCTACTGTAAGGAGCTTAAAAAAGCTAACAACGAATGAGCTGAAATTAGTTTCTTCTGGAGATGGAGATCATGGAAATGCAGAGATTAATTGACTTAATTAGAAAGTCAAGGACTGAGAAATAATTAAACCGAAATCACCTGAGAACACAGCCAGYTGTTTAGTCTCAAGACCATTCCTTTTTTCTAAATTGCTTGTAGCATTTCTCCTCTCTGATTCGATGACCTCTGCAATTAGTCACCACTGATTTCAAATTATTCTTTTAGGTCTAAGCACTGTGTTTTACTCACTGCTGGCTGTTGTGCAGCTACTAGCTAGCACAACAGGTTTAGCAAGCTGTCAAGCTCATAGGGAATGAGCATCTGCAGTTGGAGTGCTTATCGTGCTGGATGTGCTCCAGGAAGCAAAACTGGACACTACAAATAAACTGTTCCATACTGACTCACTTCAAAAGAAAAATTGTTCTTTAAGGCATTGTTGGGGCTGTGGTATTTGTCATCTGATGACAACTCCCACTTTGAGAAAGAGAATGTGAAATCTATCAACTTCCAGCAAGGAGCATTTTATTCACATCTTAAGGTTAAACTTCACTCATGTGGTCTGTAGTAGGCGAAGAAACAGAATGAGGAATAAGCCAAACAATCCTTTCCTGTGAAAGTTCCCCATCACTCCCATTAATTCTCCTGACYTTTGTATTCTGCAGCATAGGTCAAGTGTGTTTGTAGATCCTTATGCAAAGCAGATGCTGAGTAGATACTAATGTGAAGTATGTGTACAGACCCATTACAGTCAAGCAGTCCTGAGGTTTGTCTATAGGAATGTATTTCAGGATCAGAACCTCAAAGCCTGTTATCTGTAGGACAAAACTTTCACACTTGATGGCTTCAGAGAAGCACATACATAATAAAAGACACAAGACTGATTAAAACCTCTTTAAGGCCAAAGCACAGCATGGCCACAAAAACACAGAAGCCTGTCTCACATCCAATCCTGTGGAATGGCATTTTGCTCACGTCAAGTAACTTTAGTTGGTTTTGTTTTGGTTTTTGTTTCTGAAGTCTGTATTTTAAAATTGTGTTGGCGACTCTGTTTTGAAGGGGAGGTTATTTTGTAATATATCAAGCCTTACATTTCAACGTAATGACTTTCTTTAACAATCAGCTCAAATTTCATTTCAGGAGCGCTGCTTTTCTAGCTATCCCCGCTGCACAGCATTTCTCTCACCCTGACTGCCTCCATGTCCAGTATTCTATCAAGGTAACAAAATTAATCTTCGTTTCTGTCACCTGAGGCATCCAGAAGAAAGAGAGCGATAGCACGTATGTTTGGGAAACGTTTTGAGGCTTTTCTTCCTTCAGCTAGTTAGATTTATAGCGAAGAGCCAAAGGACAAAGATCAAGTTAAGCAAGTTTTCTATTAGCGAGGAATCAGAGAAAGGAGAAAAACATCCCTTGGGTTACAGTATTGGCTCAAGCACTCTGGGCTTTTGTTGGTTCATTAAGTGAGATGTCTGTATGAATACTGATAGTTTGTGTGCATTTGTTAGCATTAGATAGGATCCCTATAGAATCCCCTGGAAGCTCTCATGTCCCATGTTTGTCTTTTGTATGATTAACTTCTGCAGGGTGTGGGATGGAGGATCCTAGAGCCAACTGCCCGCAGGCTTCACAGTACTTCATCTTCCCTGTTGTTTTCTGCAGTAGCTTTGCAACTGATTGCTATAAAAAAAAAAAAAAAACCACCTGCAAGTAGCCCTCAGGTAAAAGAAGGGATTAGGCTGAGGTGTGCCTGTACATTAGAAACGCATGTTTGCAAGCCAAGAGGAGGTGTTAAGCCTGGACTAACAATCATTCTGCTTTGCAGCAGAGGACAGGTCCCRTTTCCACTTTTTTACCTTGATCTAGTTCAATCCCTCGAAATCGGCCCTCYGGGCGGGAATCTACCACCTGGAAGCGCCGGGATTCCAGGTTCTCCACCATCTGCTCGAAGGTCTTCACCAGGGCTTTGTCCAGCGTGGCCTTGAAGACAGCCGGCGCCGGCGGGCTCACCTCTGCGGTCACGGGGTGACCCTCCTTCACCCAGTTCTTGAAGCCGCCGTTGAGCACAGAGACCTCTTTGTGCCCAAACACCCGGAACATCCACCAGGCGCGGGGCGCGTAGAAGGTGCCCAGCTTGTCRCCGTCGTACACCACCACGTGGGTGTCGTTGCTGATGCCCAGGTGCCCCACGTAGTCGGCGAAGTGGGCCTCGCTGGGCAGCATGAAGTCGTACGGGGAAGACTTATCCCTGCACTCCTCAATGTCAAAAAACGAGGCTCCGGGGATGTGTCTCTCCCTGAACTCCTGCCGGGCGTTTCGCTCCTGAGGCGGGTACCACGAGGCGTCCAGCACCCGCAGGCTGGGCCCGACCCGCTGGGCCCGGACGGCCTCCGCGAGCCATTTGGCCGTGACCAGGGCCCGGGCGAGCACCGCCATGTCGCAGGCYGGGGCTGCAGCGGGGCCGGTCGGGCCGCAGTCCCGGCCTCCTGGCACCCGGCCCGGGCCAATCAACCGGCTCGGGAGGGCCGGGCCGGCGCGGGCTCCCTCCCGGGGAACTCGGTCGCCCTTCTCGCCGCGGCCTCGCCGCTCCCTTTTTGCTCACGGCGTCTGTGTGYGCAAGCGGCTGCGTGGGCCGAGGGGACCCCTCCGCTGTCCTCCATATCCCCCCCCCACACACCCGTTTCTGCGGGCCGAGAAGGGCAACGGGGCGAGGGAGAAGGGGGAGCGACACGGGCCCTCCCCGGGGCAGCGGGCGGGCAGCGCGGGCGAGGGCGCAGCGCGGCTCGGGACACACAAAATGGCGGCGCCGCCGCGCGGGCCCCTCGGCGGCGGGGAGGCGCCGCCCGCGCTCGGCCCGAGGAGGCGGGCGGGGAGCGCAGAGCTCGGCCTCAGGAGGCGGGCGGGGAGCGCGGGGCTCGGCCCGCTGGGCGGGCTCTGCCTCCCGCCCGTGCAGGCCCCGGCTGGCAGCTGGCGAGGCTCGGCTGGGCCCCGGTGCCGAGGTATGGGGCAGCGCGGCCCGGCCGCGGCTGGCCCCGCGCCTGCCCCTTGTTGCGCGCGGCAAGGAGGGTGTCCCCGGGTGGCAGGAGGAGGCTGCGCCCAGCGGCGGGCTCGGCTTGAGATGGTGTCGGGGGTTGAGTGGTGGGGACGGGGGGGGCTGTGTCTCACGGCGGAGCGGCCCCGGCCCTGCCTCCCGCTTGGAGGCTCTTTCCCAGGAACCTAAATCAGGGCTTCCCAGGGACTCGGGGCTCCCCCCTTGCTGTCCTTAACACACCTGGAAGTGTCAGGATTGGGGCAGGACTCRGCCATGGCAGCTCCAGTCAATGCAGGATTTAGGCTGAGCTCTGCAAAACCTATTCTCAGGACAGAAGCACTTCAGACTCCTCACTGTAGGCTTAGTTCAGTGTACTGACTATGAACAYGGGCCGGAAAGTCTTTGCCTCGCAAGTATGTCTTCTCTTGCTTTCCTTAAAAATGGTGTCTAATTTACAGCTTTCTCACTTTTGCAATCAGGTGCGTTCACGCAAGCCCCACGTAACCTTGGCCRGAACCCGGGAGCAATGTCACAACAACTCTTCTACCGTGCGCTGGTGTCTGCCAAATGGCTCTCAGAAGCTATCAAGTCCCAGCAGTCTGGACTGGCTTTGAGAATCGTGGATGCATCCTGGTATTTGCCAAAGATGAAGCGTGACCCAAAGCGGGAATTCGAGGAGCGCCATATACCTGGTGCAGTTTTCTTCGACATTGACCAGTGCAGTGACCGTACTTCACCCTATGATCATATGCTGCCCAAGGCTAGTGACTTTGCTGAGTACGTGGGGAAGCTGGGTGTGGGGAATGATTCCCATGTTGTAGTGTACGATGGCAGTGACCAAGGACTCTTCTCTGCACCCCGAGTGTGGTGGATGTTTCGAGCCTTTGGACATGAAGCAGTTTCCCTTCTAGATGGTGGCCTGAAGAACTGGCAGCGAGAGGGAAATTTGCTGAGCTCTGGAAAGAGCCAGGTAGCTCCCTCTGAGTTCCATGCCTCTCTGGACAAGTCCATGGTGAAAAGCTATGAGGACATCATAGATAATCTGGATTCCCAGCGCTTCCAGCTAGTGGACGCACGCTCTGCAGGACGGTTCCGGGGAATAGAGCCGGAGCCCCGAGATGGTAATGTGGCTGCTGAGACACTGGCAGTGTGAGCAGGGGCTTCATTTAGGGTGCCCATATTCTTGTTTATGTCTCCCGTAGAGACAGTGAAGTAAAATGCAATTGTCCTGTTTGTGTCTACCTGTCTTCCAAGCTCTTTGACTATCTATTGCTGCTTCTGGCTGAAAAATCACTTAAGAGTGAGGAAAGCCATGCCTTCTTTCTCATGAAGGGCTGGGAAAAGTAGTATTCATACACCTCAGAAATATTTATTAGTTTCTTCATGTATTTCTGGTACTACTTTCCCTTTAGAGCCTGGGAAGGTGCTTCAGTTGGTGATTCTGCAGAGCAGTCTGCTCTGATGCAGGAGAGGAAGAAGAGAACTTCAGAACAGGTTTCTTAGTCTACTTGGTAACCTAAAGCTTAGAGCCCTCATTTCTGAGGGCTGCACTTCCACAAAAAGCAAATGTCTGGTGAAACAGAGAACAGATTTTGCAGTGGACTCCTTGCAGATAATAGAGGTTAATTCCTGTCTGTATTGCTTTTCCTCCAGGAATTGAGCCTGGTCATATCCCCGGCTCCCTGAGCATACCCTTCACCGATTTCCTCACAGAATCTGGCTTAGAGAAGACCCCCGAGCAGATCCGCAGTCTGTTCCAGGAGAAGAAGGTGGACCTCTCCAAGCCCCTGGTAGCCACCTGTGGCTCTGGGGTTACTGCCTGCCATATCGCTCTGGGGGCGTACCTCTGCGGCAAGCCCGATGTCGCGGTGTACGACGGGGCCTGGGTGGAGTGGTACATGCGAGCACAGCCTGAAAATGTTATTTCTGAGGGAAAGGGGAAGACAATGTGATAAGCTTCTTCCTCCCCCAGACATGCAGATAATTTGCCTTGAAATGGGATTTGGAATAAATGGATGAATTGTTTCTTGATGCCATAAGTGTCATAACGTGAAGGTGTTGGGTAACAAACATGGCTACGTGGTCTTTAGGCACTTCCTTCCCTTGCCAAAAGTGTGTTGATGCATAAATATGATCTCTCTTACAGTATCAGATGAGAGAGAGCTCTGGTAGTGGCGTGGGGAAGCAATTGAATCAAGCCAGCCTCATGACTTGGCACGTTTCACCATGTTTACTCACAGGATGATCGCACTTGTATAACTGGGCCTTATGATCATGCTCTTTGCCTGACTCTGATCATCTGGATGCCTGTGTCCTAGAATCCACCCATGTAGACAATGGTCATTTTGAGCACAAGGGCTAGGGAAAAGGCATTAGTGATTGTAGAAACAACTTTAGCTTCTAGTTTGGTGCTTGAGGGGTGGTCTGGATTTATTCTAGTGCTTGGAATCTTAACTGCAATGTGTGCTTAGCTGGTTTTATATTCTGTGTACTTTGCGTCCTTTTTATATCTATAAAAATAAAAAAATCTAGGATTAAAAATATTAAATAAATGTGTTTCAAGTCCTTTCTACTGAATGGAGCTTATGTGGGTGTCTTTCCCATGAAATAGGTGTTCATGGGTTTACCTTTCCTGATGATTAAAGTGAGATATTTTTTTCTTTCTTGAATAGAATGACTTTTTCTTTTCCTCAGCAAACTTTAGGGTCCATGAAAGGTTACACTAGTTCTCCCTTGAYACACTACTGCTTTCTGCCTTCCAATCTTCTGCCCATTTGCTTTTTGGCCTAAAACAGAGTCGCAGCTCTATTCTTCAAAGACTGGATGCCAGCTCACATGCTGCAAGTTGGGTTGCATGAGTGTTGTTATCCCTTCCATGAGACATGTCATAAGACTTTGAGGAACTTGGGGGAACTGGAACCTGCAGAGGAGTAATCCAAAATGTCAGGAATTTTTCCCTGGGACCACTGATGACAGTGGTCATATTTGAGAAATGAAATCTCATATATTTCATATTTGAGAAATCTCCCTAAGTGTCCCTGCAGCTTGTTGAAGAATTTTTGTGGTGTTTTCCAAAAAATGGACAGACAACAACTATTCCAGCTCCCTGGTGACTCAAAGTTAATGAACCAGGTTCTGCTGTTGAGCATGCAACAACATATGCCCGTGGAAATCTGGAGCTGATGGTGTCATCCTTTCTGAGGATGCAGTAGATGCTTCCTGCTGCAGCTTGGCAGGTCTCCTTGCCAGTGACTACAAAGGCTGGATCCTAGCTGACTGGAGAGGTTTATTGGTTTTGTTTCTTCATGGTGATGTTGTCTGGAGGCCTGGCTTCTTCCTGGGCCTGGCTTGCATGGACAGGAGCCCTATTTCTGCAAGTTTCTGGTGTTTCATAGTTCAGATGATTTCTTCATCTGTCCTCTGCAGCCCCACGTACTTTCTGATCCTCCTCTCCCCATTTCCAGTAACTGAAGCATTCAATTCTCCTACATAAACTCAAGCTGATAACCTTGCTCTTCAGGGACTTGCACCTGATATTAACAGCAAGCAGTGGGTATAAGGTTTGAAGGATCTGAAATGAGGCAGGCAATGCCTGCAGGCAATGAAAGAAACACAGGTCTGGCCAAATTTAACCAGTTTTTGTTGGGTTTGATATTGTCTCTGCACTTAGGCTTGCCCAAAAGCCCTGCTTCGACGGGTCACAGAATGTTCTGCAAACTGTGAAAGCTGCAGTTCCGGATCAGTTTATGATCCAATAGATGCTTTAGTTTTATTCTTCCTCATAAAGAAAAGCTATCTTTTCCCCTGTTCTGAATTGCCCTGACGTATAATGGTGTTTATAAAGGCTGGTAGCAACACTTTATTCCATGTAGGGTAATTTCCCAGCAAATGTTTCCTGAGGAGAAAAGGGAGGAACTAGCCAACATGTCATATAAATTATCTGATTGCAGTCTTTAAACCGTCTGTGAAGGGTCTTCCCAATCTGAGCAATGAGGCCACTGCTTTTAAAGCAATTTTAAGACATCTTCATGGGTAACATTTTCTAGTAAGAGACCTAGCAGTGGGGACTGGGTTGTGACATCTTTTTGATTCAGGTTTTCTAGCTTCTGCCACCATCAGGCAAGGTAAGAGGCTTTCACTGACAGGTCATTGAGGTTTACCACCCTGGGTGTGGTGTGAGATGAGGTAGCTTATGTCAATATGTGGTCAGGCCACTGTACACACGCAGACAATAATTCAAGAATGTGGCCACTCTCCTGTTTCTCCAGGAATTCACTCAATAGAGAAAGAATATGCCTTCTTTCAGACTTCCTTCACTATTTCCTGTGGATGTACAGGGCTGGCTTTTTCTGGCCCACTGCAGTGCAGCTTTAAACACACTTTCTTTTGGGAACACTGCAGTGCTTGAGGTCACAGAAATCACTCTACTACCTCCTGAGCCTGAGCTCTTTTTCATATGTGCTGGGGAGAGGTGTCTGGTACAGCCCAATGAGCTACATGAAATTTGCAAACTAAGTGAAAGGTTCTTCTTTTTTTCTTTTCTTTTTTTTTCCTCCTTCCCTCCTTCCTTTTTCTGCATTTTGACTGAGTGACTCCATGACATCCAGCAGGACCTTTCCCCTTCTCTGGTATGTGTGCCAATGTTTGCAGCAGTCAGTTGCCCTTCTCCCTGCAGTGTTTGAATCGCAGAATCTTCCAAGAATTTGATTCATTTTCTCCTTTTCCCAGGTTTTATCAAACCTTCTACCAGACACTTAGCTTTAATTTCCTAGCTCTGGGTAAATAGAGAGTTTCTTCCTCACCCCAAATTATTTTGTCTCCGTGGGGTGTGTCCTGTTACATGATGCATCGAAAATCTGTCCCAAGACAGTGTCTTCTGATACTCCCTCTCCCTTCTGATGAGATCCATTCTCATGCTGCAAGCAAAGCACTGGGAATGTTGTGGGACTTGAGACAATGTTTTTGAAGCCTGGTGACTGCAAAGCCTATTTTGAGCTGTAACAGATGCTACTGGACATATGGTGCAGCTGAGGAGACTTGCAGCAGGACTATAAATGCTCTACAGATCTTTGTCCCTGGCTCAGTGTGTGAGTTTCCTGTAAGAACTGGAAACATGGAAGGGGAGAAGCAGATATAAATGCAAATTGGTAAAGCTCCTGACAAGTCTATGGAAAAAAAAATACCACTGGGAAAGACAAATAAAGTCTCTGGGGTGGAACAGGGCTTGTGGCAGCTGAGAAAGATGCTTAAAAAACAGCTCTAATGTGGGAAGAGGGTCACACTGATGTATGGCTAATTTGAGATGGAGCTGTTACAGATACCTATAAATGTCAGAAACACAGGTCAGCATGTAAATTCTTTATTGGCTTATAGCTGCATTTTACTATCCGTAATGCTTTTGTCTTAAATCAGTGTTGGACTTCGTGAGAACAGCCTGGTTAACAGGTAACTCCATGGCTGTCTCAGAGCACAGCATAGCTTTGAGGGTCTGAACACAGTTTGAGCTGTAAGTAGGAAGTCACAGTAATGATGCTAGAGTGTCTGCTCTGTGCTTGGTGACAAAAGAGCATGTGTACTATGGGAATCAGAAGTAATGTGATGGTGTTTCGTTTGGATCCGCTTATGGTGCTGAGAACAAGAACCGCAAATGAGCTGAAGATCAGACAGCACATCACCCTTCTCCTTTACATCTCCAGATTAGGTGGCAGTTCCTGTTTTGACCACAGACCTGGTCACAGGAGACTCTGGGCCTGGAACATAATGAGAGAGAAGAAAATTTTTCATCAATCTGAAGATGTTGTGGGGAGGGAACCACTGTCACATTTTAACTACATATATCTGTGAYGACCCAGACCTAGATCACTGTGCATCACATCATCCAGTGTGTCACACTGGATCACTGTGCGTTTGCAATATAGATCCATTTTATATGGTGTAAGCACAGAAGGGCTTCCAAGGGCAATCACAGAGTCCCTTGTTCCTCACCTGCCTTCATTCCCTGGCTTCCTCTTGCTTCCCTACTGCCACTCAGCAGATGGATTGCCCTGTTTCATGCCCAGCATCCCAGTAAATCATTTGTTCTGCTGCACACTTTCCCCACAGCCCAAAGCAGGCCTTTCTCTGACAGTAGGACTGACTCTTTCTAGTAATGACTGCTGCATGAACTTGTACCTACCAGCACCTGCAGGTGACCTGCTGTTTCTTACATCTTTCTTGGGTCCAACTGACAACCAAATATCATGTGAAGGTTTTCCCTCTTCCAAACACTCTTTCAACAGAGGTGGTAGGTAATATACATATATACACACTGTCTTTATACACTATTTTGAATACAAAAATGGAGCACAAGGACCACATGGAGCACAAGCAGCTAGAGTGCAGATCCTCAGCATACCTGAGGACCTTTCTCTTCCTGCCCCGATTTGCTTTGCTTTGGTGGCGACCAAGCTGGGCTGTGAAGACTACAAGTAAATTGTTTTCATCCCATCTCTATTTACAATGCAAGGAGTTTTCTTTGCTCAGTTTACTGTAGATTTAATGGCAAATTCCAGAACTTTACTTGTCTTCCTCAGTCCAGTTCCTCCAGAAAAGGAAAGTTTATTCTCAAGTATCATGTACCAAAGTGAATTCTTTAGTTAAATCATCATTCCAGTTTAATCCCAGATGTGTATTCCCAGCCTGCCAGAGTAATGACACAGTCTGTGCCAATACATGGTGATTCTTGTTCCCACTGACACTCTGCAATGCAACAACAACCTAAGAGCAGCTCTGTAACATCAGTGATGTATCCTAAACAGATCATGATATGTGTACTGAATGTAGTGTTGTGCATAACACTTTACAGGTTTACAAATTAAGCCTGATGGCTGCTGAACAAAGTTCTTTCACTTTACAGTAACCTTCCTGGTTTTGCTCTGTCCCTACCCAGCCCCTCTCCTGTCTACCCAGTGCCTGTCTGCGCTATTGCCCCAGCTCTGTGATTAACTGAATGATCAGTAGTGCTGTATGGTTTTACATAACCACACTGCCCTATGAAAGTTCTTCCTTGCTGCTGTCTCTTTCTGTGCATGTGTTTTATATATATTTATCATCAAAGCCGGAGAATCAGACATTTGGTTATCTATATTTATTTCTCCTCTCTTTCTTCCATTTCTCCTTGATTTTCAATGGACCTTAACAAGGACATGCTAATTGCTTTTCAGAAATATGTCTGGTGACAGTGTTCAAATCAGGCCCGTACTTAGCCTGCAACACTGACTCATCACAGCATCTCAGTCAGTAACTCACAATGGGCTGATTTCTTCCCAAAAAAGGTTTTCACCTACTAGGGGAACTCCTTGACTTTCAGCATTCTGGTGAAGTTCATGCTGTATATTGCAGAGGTTATGGGGACGGGAGGAGGCTACCTCTACTTTTCTCCTTACTTGTAATATACTTCACTGCGCAGCCCAAGAAAAGCAAGACTTGACATGCTGGCCATGGATAGAGGCTAGTGTTGATGGAAGAAGATAGGCCCTGAATGCAGACCATCCCTGAACCATGGGCAGCAGTGGTATGGTTGGGGAAGAGGGCAGGGAAAACAACACCTAAAAAACAGCAAGAGGCTGAGGGGTTGAGACAGGTCAGGAGGAGAGCGAGACGGCGTAAACCCTTGATAAGAAATAAGACAAAGGCAGGGCAGATTTCTTGGACAGGGAGATAAGGAACACAAACTGCCACCCCCACCCACTGCATTCATATCAGTGAAACACAGTTTGAGCCTTTGCTGGAGCTGCAGCCAGCACAGAAAAGGTCCTGCCCGCCTTGCACACCAGAGCACAGAGCCGAGCTCTTGGACTTGTCAAGGTTTGCTTGGAGCCAGGAGTAAGAGGAGAGTCCCACCGTCCAGAGCTGTGTTGCACTTTGTGATGCTTCTGGTTTCATCAATATTAACCTGAGCATCTTTGATGCCACCTACTGCTGTGCAGGGGCTGACCTAAGGGACTAAGCTGGTCCGGAGCCTGCTTTTCATCCTCTCTGTATTATTCGTTATCCTAGTACCTAACCAGCTCCTGATACAAATTAAAAGAGATCCAGAGCTGTTTGGTTTTGCACCCTACAGAACTGAACTGTTCATGTGCTGAAATTAGCTGAAAGTAGCTGGAGGTCAACAATCTAAAGCATCTTTTCCATGTTAGCCTCTCTTTCCCTTTTCCTTTTGCATTGCTGCACGGCAGGAACAAAGTACATKGTTATATTCTTTGTGTTTGACAGAGAACTTCTTTATCCTGGGTAATCTGGGGAAAGGGTGATGCTGTCTTCACACGCCTTGAGGGTAAAAAGTAGTGTATAATGTATAAGGAAGTAAAATAAAAGGAAATAAAAGAGAGAGAGAGAGAGAGAGAAGGAAGGAATAAAAGGAAAGTATGAGGAGAACAACCTTTCTTTTTTTTTTCCCCCACCATTAGCCTAGTAAAACCTCTACTCAGAAAACAAAGATCTAGATGTAAGAATGATAGTTTCAGTAAGTACTATAAGGCCTTTGCCCTGGCAAAGAAGAAGCAGGAGATTGCTTCAGTGAAGTGGAAACTTTGGGCCACATTCAGGTGGAGATAGGGAAAACATCATCCTTTCATTTCCCAATATATTTGAACTGCTGGCAACCACGCTTGTGCTTAAACCCAGAGTCCCAAAGGGCATGGGTTGCTGTTTTTCCAGACCAGTTAGTGGGGGATATGTGGCTGGAGCAAAGGTAAAATTCCACTCAGGGCTGATTTAAAATCTCTTCTTGCTATTGGCAAGATGAAATCAGAGATGACAGGAGGATGGGGAAAGGAGACAGGGGGTTTCTAGCATAGCTTGTGCTGGTAGGACAGCAGTGGAGGAAAGTTGCTGAGTCGGTGACTCTTTCAAGCACAATAAACATCAATCCTGCCCCCTGCCAGCACTTCACAACTCCAGGGTACATTTCCTAGAAGTGCCTCTACTTATGTTAGCAAGAAGGCAATTGTCCATGTATTTTGCAGCAAGAACAGCACGACAACTGATACAGGAGCTGTGAGCCTTGCAAAGCAGATCTCCTGAAGGGAAAGCTGCGCTTTACAGCACTGATGCATTTAACCTGCTGAGTGCCAGAGAGCAGGTTGTTCATCCGGACTCCAGACAAGCTCAAATGCAAGTCCCAAGACTGGAGACAGGCCAGCTACCAGCTGCAGGGCTGCAGTCATATACTTCACTGAGGTCATCCCGATTATAGTATCCCTTTTCCCAGGAACAGTGGGCTGGGAAAACTACAATTCCCAGTACCCTTTTGGGCATGTCTGTGCAAACTACAATTCCCAGAATCTTTTACTGAACCAGAGATGAGGTTCATGGAAATAAACGCTGAGGATTTTTGYGTAACACCCTGCACCTCCGAAGTGCTGGCCAGCCCTTAACTTGATTAGTCAAAATTGGAACCCTGGAGAGTTGCACTGCAGAGCTTCAGTTTTGCCCATTCCTAACAGCAGCAGTGAGAACCTACAGCACGGAGCACTCTCCTGATGGAGACCCATCCCTAGCCCCCTTGGTGGTCACAGGGACCATAACAGCCCTGAGAAATAAGGCTGCTGCAGAAAGAGAGGCAGATGAACTACAGATCCCGACATCCCCTGGTGGGCAGCACCTGCAGCACTCCCTGCACACTGGGGATGAGGATGAGGATGGAGGGCGGGGAGGAGATGCAGGGTGCTGCGGGGCTGCGCTGCACCTGGGACATCCTGCCACCCGCCGGCACCCCGGCCAAGTGGGTGAAGCTCAATGTGGGAGGCACCATCTTCCTTACCACCAGGCAGACCCTGTGCCGGGAGCAGAAATCTTTCCTGTGTCGCTTGTGCCAGGGCGAGGAGCTGCAGTCAGACCGGGTAAGGCAGCCGGCTTGCCTCCTGCACTGTGTCCCACTGAGAACGGGGGGCTGGAGGGCTGGATGGATGCTGGGATGGAGCCAAAGCCCAACAAATGCAAGAGGAATTGAGTAAATCCCCTCTCCTGGGATGAATCTCCTCTTGCTTTCCTTGCCAGATGCTTGTTTGCTGTGTTGCAGCATAGCACCTTTCTTCTCCATCTGGAGAAGATGAGAAAAAGAGAGTCCATCTCCTGTCTTTTCTGGCTCTCCTGTCTCACTGTCTCACTGTCCCTCAAGATGTCCTGGGTCTACATCCCAACTCTATCTCCCTGGCTCAGCCTTGTTCCTATAAGGAGTGTTTGTCTGCTCTCTCACACCAGCCCTGTACACCCTGTACACAGAGTCACAGGAGGAGCTAAAGACTTTTCAGAGACTTTTGTTGKTTTTTTTWTTTGTTTGTTTGTTTGTTTGATGGTTTTGTATATTTTTTGTCTTTCTAAGCTGGGTTTGTCTGTGCTGAAATGGGCATCCAAAGGATAATGAGCCAGGAGTTAAAATCAAAGCAAGGCTAACATGGACTAGGGCTCTCCATAGTTCATCTCAGGAAAGTAAATTACAGAAACTGGTGCCACTTACTGTGGGAATTAAACCTTTTAGATAGTTAAAGTTATACAAGAAAATAGAAAAAAAAAAAAGCCTTTTTTTTCTTTTTCCCTCCAGAACTTTGATTTGTTGTATTGAGCATTGTAAACAGGATTGCTCTCCCCTCTGCGGGTACAGACCAGGGACTTAGTCACCCAGCCTTTGGCCTGGTACACTGGTTGGCTGTTATCTTGTGTGAGTGTGCATGCATGTGTTTAGGATCCTTGTGCTTTGTTACATCATCATTCTCCAGATCATCTCATAAGGATAAGAAGCAGTGGCATCTTCTTTTTCCACTCAACAGCTGCTATGTGCCTTGTACAGTGATGTACAATGGAGGAGCTGAAGCCATTGGCTTTGCCCATGGTTTCCAAGGAACCTTAGAAATAGTGGACATTTCTGCTTGTATTAGGATATGTAGGATTAGTGTTTTCCTCTAATCTGGGGTATCTGAGAGTTGTTGAAACTTTTCCCGTAGATTTTTTCTCTTTATGGTCCGTCTCTATTGCTAGGATGAGAATGGTGCCTACCTAATAGACCGGGATCCCACTTACTTCGGACCCATCCTGAATTTCCTCCGTCATGGGAAGCTGGTTCTGGATAAAGATATGGCYGAAGAGGGTGAGTTTTGGAGCATAGAAACTTCCCACTTAAGATTCCTGCTGGAACCAGAGCACAAGACAACTTGTTGTTCACCTKGTAGTTTCCTACTCTCCTCCTGAATTGGTGTGGGGACGTTTGAGAGGGCTGCCTCTGCAGCTCTTGGAAATCAGATTAATGCCTTCTTTACTTAGGGGCTTTGGAGCAGATGGGAAAATCATCCTATGATGATTGTTGTGGCTTCTCAACTGCTAGTTCAGCAGAGATGTCACTGAAGAAGAAGTAGGCAAGGTCTCTTAGCCTCAGTGAACTTTTTTGTCATCTGTTCCTGATCCTCTTATTCGGGCTTTGTGACTGAAATGTCTGTTAATAATTAAGTGTTTCTACTAGTAATGAAAACTCAAAAGATCAGGTTGATCAAACTCATCTCTTCTACTGATTGTAATAAAGACCATCATTATTTGGTTATATACATTGAAATGTCAGTAGTGCCTTATGGGTTGAGACCTGTAGCAATTTCAGCGGAACAGGACAGACAAAACAATCCCTCATTTGGGGATCACAGAGTCCACAAGGATAACTGTCTATCATGTTCTTAGGGTTATCAGCCAACGATTTCTTATCCTTCATTTTATTTTGTTGTTCTTGCAGCTTCTTTTTTTTGTTTGGAGGGATTTTTTGACATTAGAGAAGTAGGCAATTCTAAAGGCAGGCTGTGCTGCTCAGCCTCTGCTAAGTACAATATCTGCAGGTTCATCAGTCTTCTCATCTCTCAAGTATTTTTACCTAACTAAATGTGTTTTTTTTTCCAGAATTATCTTATTGGCTATGATTATAAAAAATACATCCATGCAGTGATACAGAACCATAATAAACATGATTATGAGGTGTTTTCTGCTTGCTATTTTTTGTAGTCCTCATATGAGACAGAGTTCAGCCGCAGGCTTTAATATAAAAATCTGAAGCATAGCGGGAGTCTAGTTCACAGCTTGATATTGCCTTTTGTCCCTGTCACAGACACTGAGACTGATGTGAAATAAAACTCATCAGATGATTCAGGATATAATGAAGGGCTCTGAGTGGGCTGAATAGACCTGGATCAAACCATCCTGCCAGCTGAATCTGTGTACACCCATGGGTATATGTGAATGTTGGTTGCTAGCCTCCTTACCCTCAATGACCCACCTTGCTTTCCCTGGAGGCCTTTAATAAACAAGAGAGTCTCAGGAGAGGTGGTAGATACATACATAGATTTAAAAACATAGATTATATAAAAAAAAAAAGAACATATTTCATTTACCTGCTTAAAGGTGAAGCACAGATGAGAGAGTGGCAGGTTTTCTGAAATGTATGTAGTTGCTGGGTGGATACCATCCTGACTCTCCCAGGGGAACAGTGGGGATTTTCTGGGGTCTCTCACTGATGTGGTTAGAGAAAGTCATGTTTTCCTGCCTTCCAAAGAGTGCTAAGGCAAGRTGGTAACTTATGGGCCTTAGAGAGAGGTTGGAGCTTAACATTTATTCATCTTGGCCAGAATAAGTGGTTGTCATGCTCCCAGGAAAAACCTTTCCCTGCCTCTAAAGGTAAGAGCAGGTACTTGGCTCAAATCTTCATTGTCAGTGCCTGTTTCTGAAGTAGTAGATAGCATAAGAGAATTGGAGTGAGCAATCAGGACCACAGTGCAGAAAGACAGAGCCAATTTCCTGTGGTAAGAGGTTCAAGCAACAGAAATGTGCTAAAGAGTGAGGCCAAAGTGTCATTTCTCCCAACAGAAGGGAGAGGACCTTGGGAAGCTCTGAGCTGATCTTTTGCAAATTGAAAAACAAGAACTGTCTCTTAACCTTGTGTCTTTGTTGTCTCTCTCTCCTTTTTTGTCAGGGGTCCTAGAAGAAGCTGAGTTCTATAACATCGGCCCTTTGATCCGAATAATCAAGGACAGACTGGAGGAGAAGGATTACACAGTAACTCAGGTACAGATGGAAACCGCAAGCAAAGATATAATGGGAGAAGGAGAAAATGCTGAAAAGGAGAAATGAGACTACAGAGAGRGCAGACTTGGAAGAACCAGCCAGGAAAGGAAAGATGAAACCAATTAGAGCTTATATGATAATCTCTGCAGAACAAAACCATGCTAGAAGTAGACTACCACCATTTTAGTTATGATAAAAGTGCCTTATTTTGCAGCCCAGAGGTATCACTGGAGGTAGCTGTTGAAACAAAATAGGTCCCCATAACTTTTTAAACAAGCCAGTTGATCACTGTGGCTATGGAAGGATGTTTACAAGGAGACTAGAGAAGTTGTGGGGAGGAGGGCTTTTGTGTGGGAAACCCCAGGAGAATCATCACAACAAAGAACAGAGGGATACTTGTAGAGATACTCAGAGGAAAAAGGTGAAGGGATGTCTGTGAAAGAGTTAGATGCAGAAAACGAGGCATAAAGAATTGATCCTGTGGCAGAGCTGCACCTTCTCCCAGCCAGAAACCTTTTCAAACCTGTCTTCTGGGAATATTTGATTGATGTCTCATTTTTCATCACGTCTGCTTCAGGTTCTAAGCTTCCATTAACAGACAGTCACTTTGTGCTTCCAAAATCCTATCTGCCTCTGTGTCATTTGTATAAATGACTTTGTAATGACAAATGCAAGCTCTCCATAGGAAAGAGCCCAGTATCCTCTATGAACAATGTAGGAAACTGTCMGCTCAGTCCCTTCTTTCCAGAATACATACAGTTGTACTTGTCTGCCTGGATAGCAYGGTAGAAAGCTGGATTGTAATTTCTCCTTTATTCTCAAGGAAGGGTACTACTTCATGCTTGTCTGCAAGGAGGGCAACAAGCTTTAAGCATGGGACCTGGGCAACATGCTCCCTGCACTTTTCCTTATAGGTGCCTCCCAAGCATGTCTACCGTGTGCTGCAGTGCCAGGAAGAGGAGCTCACTCAAATGGTTTCYACTATGTCAGATGGATGGCGGTTTGAGCAGGTTTGGAGAGGGCAGAGGAGGGTGGGCAGGGGTTTTCTTTTGGAGTAAAGATCATTCTCACAGTAATACTGGGATAATGGTCAGGCCCCATACACAGCAGCACACCTTCCCTCTCTGGAAATGTTGGTTCAGTTGCTGATGCAGCTGTCATGTTGGCTACTGCCTTGCCTCTTCCCTGCAGTCTTGGAAGATGGTTTTTATCTTTGTGGAGTGTGAATGAGATTAAGGTGTTTGAATCCCGGACTTCATGGTGAAGGGATTTGAATTCTGGCCAGAGTACCAGACCATCTTGGGAAGTGATTATGTGTCACTTCCTCTGCTTAGTTATCAGGCCTTTCTAGTAGAGATAAGGATTGGACTCCGTGCTGCATGAAGAGTTTTTTCTTCTGCTCTGTAAGTGAAGTGAATGTCTGTAGTAACATGGATATGTGATCCTTGCACTCTTGACGCCTCTAGCTTGTGAACATTGGCTCATCTTACAACTACGGGAATGAGGATCAGACAGAGTTCCTGTGTGTAGTCTCCAAAGAGCTATACAACTCTCCCAATGGCATGAGCTCGGAGCCCAGCCACAAAGTCAAGGTGAGACCAAGTTTGTTAAAGTCCTGCTCTTGTCGCCTATGAGGCCCTTCACACAGTTTKCTACCTCTTTCTTTCCGCCCTTCACTGTGACTATGGGACATCTCTATGGTGAAATACAGAGCTTGCCCTTGTGTTCAGCACCATGAGATTACATCTGGTGCCCAAAAGAAGGAGCACGTGTTGGACGTGATAGAGTCCAGCTGTTTATGACAAATGGCTTTAATAAGTGACTTCAGCACTTCCCATGCTACTCTAACATCCTTCTCATCCTGCCTCAGGACCATTCTGTGTATGTCACTCTGCCATTAGGGTGTAATTGCCTCGAAGGCTTTATAGCATTCCCTTTTCTTGCTGAGTCTCAGGCTAAGGGGGCAGGAGAACACCTGGTCCCCTCCCAAGGGATGGATAGAAACATGTGCATGACATCCCGAGGGCAGCTTGGATATGGGAAGGAGTGCTAGCAACTGATGACACAATGGGATAACAACATTTGTAAGTACGTTAGCTACCTCTAACCTGATGATACAGAGGAAGACAAACCTCTGCTTCCTCACCCAGAGCTCTCTTGGCCATATGGAGAAATTCCTGTCTATACCAGTATCATGAACACTGCTTAATGTCCTTGTGTGTGAGCAAGAACCACCATGGCTCATCTTGCAAGTGTCTCCACTCTTTCTTCCCTTTGTCCTGCATGCTGGGCCGCAGAGCACAGAGGAGGACCCGGAGGAGGAAGAGCAGGAGGTGGAGGAGGAGGTGGAGAAGGAGGCAGAGGCAGAAGCAGAAGCAGAGGAGAAAGGTGCAGCAAATCCATGAGGAAAATGATAAAAATAAGCATAGACCCGTCCACCCGTCTGGTGAGAGTTCACAGCTAGTGGCAGGGAAGCTCTAGGGTTGGGGGGAAAACATTCCAGGGAGCAGGAGTTGCTCTGGGAATGAAGATCAAGGGGGAGAGCTGTTACCTTGGCTGCTGCTTTTCGTTTTTAACAATTTGGTTTATTTATTGTTTTATTTTTGTTTGCAGATTGCCCATCTACTCAGGATTCTTCTAAACCCTTTCTTCCTCTGGACTCTCCATCCTGCTCCCCTACCCTCTGCTCTCCATTTGTCATTGGGATGTTTGTCTCCTTGTGGTTACCTCCCTCCCACCCTACCCCATCTCCCTGCCTCCAGCATTTTCCCTCTGCTCTCTTTGCCCCTCACATCCTGGGTACCTTCCAATCCTCCCAAGCTCAGGGCCCTGTGTGCTCCCTGCTCAGGGCCCTGCCTCTACATCTCACTTTGCCTCCTCTGCAGGTACGTTACCTGTCTGCACTGTCAGATCCTGCCAGTCTGAGCTCTGCATGAGTGACTCACTTCCTCCCTTCTTATGGATATAGGCCCGGTTTGTAGAACTGGGGGAGAGGGGGTGGGAGGGGAGGTGATGCTGAGTCATTTTTAAGGCAGCTTTTCTGATTTTTTTCATCATATACCAACCTTAGTCTCCAAGCAGGCCTTACCGTGCTGGACTAGAGGCTCTGGCAGCACAAGAGCAATTACAGCTAGGAGAAATGAAAAGGGCTGGAAATAAATGCAAAGCAGGCAGTGGTGGCACTGCAGGAAGTTTGCCAGGTGTCTGCCTGACTCACATGCCAGCTCCCTTCTCCAGACTGCTGTCCATAGCTCCTTTGGCAGCCAGAGAGCTGTCTGCAGAAGCAGCTTATGATATTTCCCTCCCCACTCCTACTTCCCTGGGCATTTCCCTCACTGCCTCTGCCAGGATGAAAATGCAGAGGGAGCAGGTGGTGAAGGCAAAGCAGAAGCTGCAGTTCCCCAATGCAGATGTTCCCCCAGCTGTGTGCRAATGTGCCTCAGTGCTGTCATGTACCCAGGGAGGCTGCCTGGYCTAGGCTGCGTGCCCCTGGGGTCAAGGACATACAGAAAGCTTTGAAAGGGGGATGTCTCTTTCTTACTGGTAAACTGCGGGACTCTTATTAACCCAGAGATGCTAAACACCACTTCCCATCCTAATGGAGAGCACTTGTTAGCTGTTTCTCTTGTCCTCTGTTCAAGAACCTCTTTGTCTGTGGCTGTGAGACCTAAGTATTATTCTCTTAAAAATCAGTGCATGTTGCTCACATTGACTTTCCTGCCTTTTTCTTTTTTTCTTCACCCTCACTTCTTTTTTTTTTTCAATCTCTATCTCTATTTTCTCTCTCATTTGCTCTTTCCCTCTTCCTGTTTCTTGCTCTCCCCTCCATGCTCAAATATTTCTTCTGTCTTTGATTTTGTTTCTCTCTCTCATTCGCTAGCTGTTACAAGCCAGAGGCCTGAATATGATCCTGATCCAGCCTTTTAAATTGTGGTTATATATTTATTTTTGTAGTGTAGTGTATGTCAGCACCTTGTGCTACAATGACACCCCCCTCCTTCCCCTTAACTCTTCGCATGCAGCCTTTGGTTCTTACAAAGTGGCCTCCATGACTCAGGCCTCCGGTGCCTGGGGGAAAGAGGAAGGAGGAAGGCAGATGCTCCAAGGAGTGCCTGATCTCCTGTAGGATCTGGAGTCCACAGCCACCTTCCATGCCTACCAGACTGGCTTTCCTTAWTCTCACAGTGGCCCTTGCTGGGGACATCAGTGCTCAGCGTCTGCAGCATTTGATTCCACAGGACTGGGGCTCTGATGTGTGGTACCAGCTATAGTAAAGGTGGCCATAGTTGCACGGGACAGATAGTCTGGCCTTGTGTCCAGAGAGGCAAACGTGGAGCCACTGCATTTTTCTGGACCTGCACTGCTTGTGGGGTGTCCCTATGCTTGGTAACATGCTTGCTGGTGCCTCCTTCCCTCCCTGTTCCCYAGAGGAGCCCTGTGTTGGCACACAAGGATGGGATAGGTATGTGGCCTGCATACCTGTGGGAAATGTGCTGGTGTCTGACATAGTGTCTGTTAGCACGAGCAGATCTCTGCCTCTGGGAGTGGGGAGTTTGCTTCACTACTGTGTCCAAGGACACCAGGTTTAACTCCTGAATAAATTTCACAGTATATACCTCCACGCTGTGCGTCTCCTTTCAAGGGGTAGAAATATAGTACTGGTGGAGGAGGGTGGGGACCAGAAGAGTTGGATTCATCACCTGGAGCCAGCACAGGCTGTTTATGCTGGGCCATGATCTGGAGGCTGCTGCCTCCTCCCAAGGGATCTGTGCTATGTTCCCATGGCATGCAGCTGGGGTACAATACAGGTTCAGCTATTTGCACCCCTAGCTCATAACAATGAGCAAGCACTTTCCATCTAGCTGATGCATTGATCCTACTGTGTCTGGGACATAGCTGCAGTGGTTGTGGTGCCTCCTTTGCCAGTTTCCGGTGTTGGAAAACTCCAGAATTGGAGTTTGCTCAAAAAAAGATCCAAACACCATGAGAACTTGTAACAGAGAAAAGCAAAGCAGAATAAAACAATAATAAAAAAAAATTATTTCTAATTCCAGAGAGTGGCTCATTATATATATACATATAGTATGGGTTTATGTATGTATATATGTTTGTGTATCTCTAGTAAAAACAAAACAAAACAAAAAACCCCAAATGACAGCTGTCACTATCTAAAGCACTGCATCCTTAGCCTTCTCCCTCGCCTCTTAGGCTGGCTGACCAAGCAGATGAGATTTCATGTTAGAGGTATTTAGCAGGGCACAGGGAAGTAGATAGAAGGCTTCTCAAATGGTTTTTACTGAACTTTGCCTGAAGGAGTTCAGCAGCAGCGGCAGAGCCTGAATGTTATTTCAGCAGGGAAGCAGGGACACATGTTTGGAAATATGATGCTGGCCTCGTGCCTAGGAGTCAGTGAGATGTGAAAAAAAAAATGTCGTCTGGTTAGCTGATCAGCTAAGAAAAAAAGCAATTAGGGAGATGGGAGAGGAGGAGTAATGGGAGGGGCTGGAGGAAGAAGGATGAACAGCAGGAAGGAAGAGGGAGGCAGATGATTGATTTCACAGTTACTGGAATCTCTATCAGTCACATCTTCTTTCAGAAAATGTTTCAGCATAAGATTGTGGTTGAAATCACATGGTTCATGGAAAGTTCATTTCTCCTTATTCTTCTACTCAGACACTCTATCAGCTTGGGACACTTGCTGTTCCCCCCTCCCTCCAATTGCTTTGAATGTCTGGCCTAAAAATACCTTACGATGCTCCCTGGGAAAACACTGAGAGATAGGAGGGTCTGCTTGCTTCCTTTCACCATCATCTCCTCTACAGGCTTTCTTCTACCATACTCAGATGAGCATTTCAGGTCTGACAAAGTCCCACACAAAATTTCTCTCTCTCTGTCTCTGAGAGAGAAGTGAGCAAGGTCAGGAACAAGCGCCATATAAGCATAGGTCTGGTGGGGAAAGGCAGGGATGGACTTTTCTCAGCTCATGGTTTGTTTCATCCAGCCCAGCACTTGGGTGACTCTGGTGTATACTCCATAGTAATTTGGACGTGCGCATCCCATTCCCCAGCTCACCAAACCAGCCAGAAACCACCTGCCGCTGGGCTCCTTGCAGGCTAGTGGACCGCCAGAATCACCCTAGAGAAAGGGAAATAAAAATAGGATTATGGTGATCTGCCAACTTCTCCTGCTGGATCATTGCACTGCCTTTGAAACACGATACTTAATTTTCTGCACCCCCTTTTCTCATGTCTGGGACATCTTCAACATCCCTTAGATATGTGGCAAAGTCTTCTACAGAAATAAAACTAACCCATTATATTAGCGCATTCCTTGAGCATGTAAATTCCTCTCCATTAACCCAACTCCCAGGAATTTCTCTGCTTTGTTGTTCACTTCTGCCCCATGTGACACATTTCCAGGCTGTCCAAATATTTGCAGAGTAAAGAGGGTGATGGAATTAAACTGGATGACTGAAGGGAGGGTAGTCAGAAGAATTACTTGGGCTTAATTTTAATGAGGGAACACAGGGATTCCTGTTTTTGACAGTTATTGATGAAGATAAGGAGAGAAAGGACTGGTGTAGACAGGCAGATTATTTGGGGTGGGGAGGGGGGATATAAAGAGATGAGAATGAGTCCAGATGAGAAAAGAAGCCTAAGTGCATTTGCAGCCTGAGTGAGTCAGGCACTTTAGCAATGGTGGCCGTAGCTGCACGGGTCAGATAGCCTGGGCTTGTGACCTGAGGGGTAAAAGTCTTCTCACTCTCATTTCAGACTGGAGTACATTTGGGAGACTGGGGACACACCCCACTACTGCTAGATGACCTTGATCCCACAACTCCTCTGTCACCTGGCAGGCATCTTTCTTGCCCTTGTGGTACCCAGCACAGAGCATCCTGGGAGAAATCATGTAGTGATAGGCCTCATTGCAGATGTCCTGCTGGATGAGCTGCACATCAACCTTCTGCAACATGTTGCTGATGTGGCCTGTGGGAGGGGGAAAGGTAGAACATCAAGAGTACCACAGGTGGATGATGGAGCTTCCCGACACTTCCCATAAGCCCCCAGATCATACCTATCCATTCTGAATKCCCTTAGTATCAGTCCCTGCCTTTCAGCAGAGCGCTTAACTTGCATGCCCTTTGCAATCTTTCTTCCTTGAGAGGGAAAATGTGGGAACAGCTTGTTTGGGGAAAAGTGGGAGCCCGCATGTCTGTGTAGGCATGGGACTGGGCTTTGGTGCTAGGACTCTTCCAYGCAGCAGTCTTGACTGAACAGCCCTACAAGTCCTGCAGAGCTGTTGGACCTCTGGATGAGGGAACACATGTGTTCTCATATAGCTTCCCAGACTCTCACACCTCTGAATGATATCTCTAGTTCCTGAACAGCTAGATAAGGCCAACCTGTCAACTGACATCAAAGATGGCAAAGGAGACATGATGGTTCTGTGGTGAGTAGAAACCTTTTCTGCCTACCCTACATGTGAACTTATGTTTCCACCTTGGCTGTGTTATAGGAGATCCCAAGCACAGACCCTACACCTACCGCCCTCCTTGATGGCTCCCCAGCCAGTGATCCAGCAATGAAGTCCAGGCTCAAAGAGATGGGAGGGGGCAGGCAAGCAGATGGGCTGGATGAAGGGTGAGCTGATTACAGGATGGTCCAGCTGGAGCAGGGCYACATCATAATCATGGCTGTCCTCCTCATAATAAGGGTGGAGGAATAGACGGTTCACCTTGAAGGACACCTCTGTGTGACTGGTGGCATTTTGTAAAAACTTGCCCAAATAAACAGTCCAGATGGAGGGGGAAGCCAATCTGTCAGGTGCAACAGAGAAAACAACTTATCACTCGAGCAAATCATGATGGTAGAGCCTGGTGACTTCTGTTATGATCCTTTGAAGATATCTAATATGTGTCTGATATCTACTGTGGATGATCTGTTCCCTCGAAGGAAACGTTTTTTATTTGGCTACTGATTTTAAGAAACATGTTGAGACATCTCTTTGATGCCTTGACATGCCTGTCGAGTGCGACTGACTTGGCAGGCACTCACACATTYACATCTGGTTATTTTCTTCAGCAGGATGAAATGTATATCTAGGTTAGACAAACAAGTGAGGAATGACTATGACAGGGCAGAGAACAAGGATCGAGCAGGGTAAGCGAAAATGCAAGGACATGAATGGGAACATGGGGAAGAGAAACAAAATCTGTAAAACTTCTAAGAGACAGTGAAGCAGGAAAAGCACCTCTGAGAGGAGGACATTGAAAGGTAAGGCAGCCTCTGGCAGATGCAGGGGC